ATAGCCACGTTATTGGAACTACTCAGTTTATGAATCTGATATACCATCATAATTCATGGGGTTTCTTCTTTTTCGTTTTGTTTTCTTTTTAATTTCTCGTGTAACTCTTGAAATAGGAGGAGCTAATAGGCTTGTAGGTGGCAATTCCTCTCCTTGATTTAGGTATGAAAACCAGCTCCTAAGGTCTCTTGTCCTACTGGTTATTGCTGCAACAGAGAGGCAGGAAATGAAGTACTATAATTTATTGTTCATCTCACCCATAAGGGCAGTTGAAAACCACACTAAAGTATATTTTTAAAACTATGCTATTTTCATGGCAGAAAATTCAGCTATGTTTTTTTCCTACCTTTTTATAATAGTGCCCATGTAAGCAATCTCTACAGTGGAATCTTGGTAAGGAAGAGGATTTAAAAATGATCCCGAGATCCTGCTGACCAGAAATAGCTTATGCACATTCTTGGAGAAACTAGAATAAAGGTAGCTTGCTTAGTCTTGCTTATTTTAGAATTCCTTTGTCACTGTTTCCCCGAAGACATATGTCCACCTCCATTATCCAGCTTCTTTTTAAGAAGAAACATTAAACTGGAAAAGAGACAGCCCACAGGCTCTCTGTGATGCTCACAGTTTCAGACTTGGTACATGGTGTTTATTACTAGGCCATTGTCATGGCTCTGTTAAAAACAAATAAGGCCAATTACTCTGCAGCAGAGAGCTAATAATGGAGAACAGTGCAGAAACATTGTAAAAAGCACAATACATTTTTAAACTTTTAGCTATTTTTGCTAAAATATGATTCTATTTTAATGGCTGGTAGTCAGAAGGCATAATTAAGTGTAGAGACATTCCATAACATTGAATCTATAACATTGACATATACAAAAAGTAAGTGTATTGCACATGTACATAGAACAAACAGTTATAAAGTGAGCACCCATGTAACCACTACCAAAGATTTCAGGGTACTCTAGGGGAACAGAACTGACAGGTATTACAAAGGGACCAACAATGGCCATGTACACAGCAGAGAGGTTAAGAACTTTGTAGTTCCATGAGTCCACATGTCTCAGAAGTTTCAATCTGGTGCTGAAGGGCTGGAGAAGTCCTGGAGAGCTGCTGGCCTCTACTCATGTTGGAAAGTTACACAAGCTGGATTCTGTTGCCAGGAGCAGCAGCAACAGCAGCAATAGAGTAGATGTGCTGATCAGCAAGGAGTGGGAAAAACATGGCTTTTCCCTCAAGCCTTTGAAAAACTGGATTGCTGCTGGAAGATACTGTCTACTCTAGGGGTTTGCCTATTCAATTCCTTCCCTGGCTCCCAGATGTCTGTCTCACCCCTGGGCATTCCTTTGCAATGACATGTTACAGATGCTGGTCACCCTCCTGGATGATCCTATGAAAGAAGAGATTACAGAGGCAGTCAGGTGCAGTCTGGAGTGTCAGATGCCAGGCATACCTCTGGGCAGTCCCTGAGGAGTCTGTTTAAGTATTTGCCCCACCCCTGGGTGATCCATCCTGAGTCAAGAATAAGACAGTGCTGTGAAGACATCCCCTGTAGAGGAATCTGCCTGTGAACCGAACACTGCACAGTTCCCCACAGTCTACCTGCATCCTGGGGATGTTATACACATCTGTGGGGCAGTGCAACTGCTAGGACTGTAACTCATATAGTCTCTTGGGGTGCTAAAGTGTGTTTGAGTCCCTGCCAAGTATGTGCGTGCATGTGTGCATGTGTGTTCATCTGTGTGAGGGTAGGCATGGAGAATTATTGTTCTCTACCTTGTTCCTTTAAGAGAGGGTCTCTGACTAACTTGCACCCAGGAAGCCTCAATTATCTTCCTGTCTCCACATCCCTTAGTGCCAGGATTACAGTCCCATTGGCTTATCACTTGGGTGCTAGGATCCAAACTCAGGTCCTCACGCTTGAGCATGAAGTTCTTTTAGCTGCTGAGTTGTCTTTCCAGACCAAGCAAGGGTCTCTATGAAACAGCATCTTGTGACTGCCCTGTCAAATGTAGAACCCTGAACATCCAGCCAAAAAGAGAGCTTTACTCACTGTTTCTTCTGTGATGCTGTTGTTATACCCTGCTCTTTATCTGCTCTTTAAAATGTCTATTACCCAAAGCATGGTGCCGATTTTCTAAGCATCACAGGTTTCCATAGTCTGCTGGTGGTGTTCCCCAAACCAAACAGAACCACACTCTCTAAGAGGCCTTTGTCTGTTTCTTTCTGAAGTTCCTTGTTCTACTTTGTGATGTAACCCAAGCATAGTCAAGCATCACTGCTCCCTCCTGCTTTCTCTGGCTTGCTTCTAGGATACTCTGGCAGACCCATCTTCCTCTGTCCTTTAGCTAGGGATAAAAAATTCCAAAGGAATAGCATCTACTTAAAATTTGTCAGTCCTATTTAAGCTAAATCCACCACTGTCTGTAGATTTCTTACTTCGTCTTCTGAAACAAAAAGAATAGTTCTATTGCTTTCATTTTTTCCAAGACATATACAATTCCTTCTCATTTTTTCTGACAAGATTCTTTTTTTGTTTGTTTTTTGGGTTTTGGTGTTTGTTTGTTTGTTTTATTTTTTTGAAACACAGTTTCTCTGTGTAGCTTTACAGCCTCTGTGTAGTCATGGAACTAGTTCTTGTAGACCAGGCTGGTCTCGAACTCACAGCAATCTTCCTGCCTCTTCCTCCCAAGCACTGGGATCAAAGGCATGCACCACCACCACTCAGCTGACAAGATTCTTTTTACCATTATCTTAATATATTCAATTTCTTCATGTTTATTTTTAAACTGATGCCATATTAGAACAAGGAAAAATTAGTTCCATGCAGACTAGAAGTCCAGCCAGTCATGTAACAGTGGTGATAATTGCATCCAAGTCCATATTTTATTTATAGATACTGTACCAAGTGCTACATGAGCATCATCACATTTACTTTTCACAACAGTAGTAGATGCTTATTTGTGGTGAAATTTTACCAGGTTGTCATTGAACCCTGACTCTCAGTTCCCGGGTGCTGGGATCACAGCTGTGGGCCAGTATGCCTAGCTTACTTGAAGAGTACATTCTTCAATTATCTACATTTTCCAAGTAAACTACTACTGTAAGACTTTACTAAGCCATACCCAAGCTCAGCATCTTAAACTAACACTCATCACATATGTTCAGCTTGGCTGGAGGTTGGCTGACAACAGCTGGGCTCAGCTAGGTATTTCTGTCTCAGGGAAATATAAACTTAGGGATAATGATACAGTTTTGTGATACTGCACTTACTTATCATCTGTGGGATCCTTGATTTGATCCCTATCATTGAAGAAAGGAAGAAGAGAGAAAAACAAAAGCAAGCAAGCTAGAAAGAAAGCACAAGCTACCACCATCACCACCATGACCACCACCAGCAGCAGCAGCAAAATGCATTTGTTCCACAATCTTAAGGATCTCCAGAGCCCACAAAAAAAGGCAGGTGGGTGTGGTGGCTTGTCTATCATCACATCCCATAGGAAGTAGAGAACAATCCTGCAGCAAACTAGGTACCAAACTAACTGAAAGCAGGAGCACTTGGTTTAGTATATAAAGTGGACAGCAAGAAAGGAAGAAACCCAGTGTCACTCTTAGACCTCCACATGCAGACATTGGACATGTACCAGCCACGTGCCCACCACACACACACACACACACACACACACACACACACACACACAAATAAAATTCTGGCTATTTTGCCCTGTCCCATGGGGTCAGTCGATGGGGACCCTGAGGGAGGGAGTGAGAATGAGGGGACAAGAGACTCTAGAGACAGAGACAAGACAGTATTCAAGTCTCGTTTATTGAATATAAGCACAGGGTTTAAGTAGTGGAGCAATGAGGAAATGGGCCAAAGGGAGGATGTGAGGGAGGCAGAATGTCCTTCCAAGCAGGATACAGGTGTTCTGCTATAAGATAAGCTGCTATACGATAAGTCTGCAGCTGGGACTCTTTCAGGGTCAGCCTGAGTTATATGCTTAACAGAAAACAGTCATAGGGGAATGGAAAATTACCAGTATGTTAGTATCTAAGAGAGTAGTAGGACAGATGGCCGTTAAGATGTTAACTTTGCAGAGAGCAGTAGGAAAGATGGCCGTTAAGATGCTAACTTTGCTCTGGGGTTTGCCACATTAGTCATGATGGTGCACACCTTCATCTCAGCATTTGAGAGGCTGAGGCAGAGGATGGTAAAACGGAGACCATCCTGCAAAACAGCAAGATCCTGTTGGTTAAAGAGGAATTCACTAGGGTCCAGCTCCAGACCATCCAAGACTACATAGTGAGACCTTCTCTCAAACACACAAACAAAAAATGATTATCCCCAATTCCAAACACAGAACTTTCCATACTTGCATCTTATGGATGGTAGGAGCAAAGTCTCACTATACACTGTAGGGTGTCTTAAAACTGCATTTTTCTATCTCAGCATCCCAGTATCTGTAACTACGGACCTGCATCGCCACATCTGATTTGAAAACACATCCCGAATGAAAAGTTTTCTTTTGGCATTTTGGAACACCAGCATATAGACTTCCTTTGAGCAAGAAAATTGAAAGTATTCCTTTGGGGGGGGGACTATAAACATTGATAACCCTAAGAACCCTGGGTCCTCTCGTTCTTTTCAGCTGATGCATTTTCCACGCTTCCACGTTCGTAAATTAACAAGAACAGTAAGTACATCTGTACATACAACATTTGTTTCAGAACTCGTGTTTCATTGTCTTAATACTGAGGTGCAGTGAAAACATCATTTTCACTTGGTCTTGATCTATTGGGAATCTGAGAGGGAAACTGACACCCTTCTACTCAAGGCTCCACCCCAGCGTTGGGCCGGGTTCTTCACTCGCTCCGCCCTCTGGCTCCACCCCACTGCCAGGCCCCGCCCCCGGCTTCTGGCGTCGTGTTCGGTCTCCACGGTTACGCGTCCCCTGCCAGAGCTCAAGAGGCTGGCCAGGGAGATCAGCGGCCGGCTGGCGTTAGGGCCGAGGCCAGCGCCCTGGGAACTCCGGGCCCTTAAACGGAGTGTATACCCGGAGAAGAGACGGACATCAGACAGCTGAGAAGCTGGTGCTGGTGGTTGGTAACAGATAGGGATGGGTGGTCGGCCTCCAGCTCTGTGCAAGCGCGCAGGAAGGAGTGGGTGGGCTCAACATGGTTGTGTGGTCCAAAGGCAGTGCCTCAGATAAGCTCTCTGGCACGTTGCTAGAGTACTTGTCCAAGCCGCGAACTTTTCTACACGCGGGAGAAGGTGAAAACAACAACCCCTTTTTTTTTCCGGATGAGCAAACTGGCTTCCAAAGAGATGCTTGTCTCTCTGGTAGATGCGATTGGACACTGATGGACTCCAGGCTGTCTGGTTCCCCACACAAACCGACTAAGGCTACTTTACCCACCCCTCGGAGCGCTCCAGTGTTACTCGTTAGAGGACAGTCAGGAGCCCTGACTTAAAATTACCACCCTTTTTCCTAGTTTATAATAGATGAAATTATGGCCAGTTCTTTTTTCGAGGTTCATAACTCTCAAGTTTTTATTGTTTGCTTGTTATGTTTTTAGTTAGAGGTTTTTGTTAGCGTGGATAATCCCAAGGATGGATTAATTTGAGAAAAAGAATCTTCTTATAGTTGTGAAATTACACTATAGTTGTGAAAGGTCTCTAGAGAGTGCACTGATAAGTATTTTCTTTTACAAGCTGTATTCTTACCACCTACACAGATAGGGGGTTGGGTTTTTTTTTCCCTCTCAAATTCTTTTAATTTTTTAAGCTTTTAATTTTTTTTCCTGTTTTGTATTTTGTTTCTGAAGCAGGGTCTCACTATGTAGCCCTGGCTCACTATGTAGACTAGGCTAGAGTTAAACTCATAGCGATCTGCCTTTATCTATCTTCCAATTACTGGGATTAAAAGCATGTACCATCCTACCTGGCTAATTTCTTTTATATTTCACGATATATATTTTGTATGGTGGCATCATTTAAATAAGGGGGAATTCCCAGTCACTCTCTGTTGTTAATAAAGTCATTTAAAATGGAAAAAATGAGGGTACAGTAATAATTCAGTAGACATTATGTTATTCCAGATCTATTAATGGAATCTAAAGTGGAAAATACGTAAGCGAAATTACTAAAAAAAAAATTATTGCTTTATTTAGCCACAATGCCTCCCACTCAAGCAGAAAGTGTTATAAAGAATATTATACGAGAAATAGGACAAGAATGTGCAGCCCATGGAGAGATTGCTTCTGAAACAGTGGTTGCTTTTATGGTAAGACTGATTAATTTTGCAAATTTCTGTTTATCAAAAAAATTTAAAATGTGATACCAATGGTTTTTTTTTTTAATTCTTGGAAGCTTTCCTAAATGCTTTAGTTGAAATATCATTTAGATGATATTGATATCAGATGAATTTGTGAAAAGTATTTTTCCAAATCTATAAAGTATGTTGTAGATTGACAGTGACTTATTTGGGAGATCCCAGGAAGCTTAGAAACCTTGATAATATTCTCCTGTAACATTCTAACATATGTTTTTGTTCAAATATATACTGTAAAAGTTATTCCCTGCTTCAATTTCTGTGTTCTTGGTTTGGGTAACAACACACAATGAAAACATATGATATCCCATAGTTTCCTGCTCTAAAACTGTAACCATTGCTTTCAGTCTCTTTGGTATGTGATTTTCTAGCTCACATTCAAGTCTGATGTTTATTGTTTTCTATCTCCAGACTGTAAGGAAAGCACTAGTGAGTGGGGTTATAAGAAAACTAGCTGGACATCAAGGCAGTTGTCTAAAATGGAAATGAATTAATTTCATTATAAGAAATAAAATTACTTAGCATGCTCTGTTTCTAGGTGAAAGCTGTCGTCCTGGATCCAAGCAATGGCTTTAACATGGATAGGACCCTCATCAAGAGTGATGTGCAGAAGCTTGTCAAGGTGATTGACAGTCCTCGTACTTGGGATTATTTACTTTCAGTTTTAAATGCAATATTTGTGTTGTCCATCATTGTCTTCAGCAGTGTTATAAAGAAACCCAAAGTGGTGGTATCAATAAGTGAGGGATTACTTTCTAATAGAAGCAAGTCTGGAGGTACGTAGGTCGTTCTTTCTGGCTTCCGTGGCTCTTACCTTTGATTTCCCTCCATGTTGCAGAGTAATTGTCATACCTCCTGATGGAAGAAGGGGAAAGACAAAGGGCTTAAAGTCAGATTTGTTGTCGCTTTCTATCCCCAAAATAAGAGTTTCTCTGAACCCTTACCATGTGGTTATATTTACTGGTCAAATGACACAGAAGTGGCCCCAGGACACATAATGCAAACCTGTGGTTCTGTGTTAGTAGGAAGATGGGAGCAAGGTGTCAGGGCTGACATCTGTTCAGTGCTCTGGTGAGATCCTGCTCTTTATCTCCCACTGAGACTTTCAACAAGTGACCTCTAATATACCTGTACTATGGAGTCAAGTGGTTCTCCATGAAGATTCATATATTGGATTCCATGTAAGTCTGTTAAAATCAAAGCAAAACTTATCTTACTAAGCAAGTAAGTCTTCCTGAAAACAGATTTTTAGAACAAAGGGTGAGGATTTTAGACATCTGTAATGTTCAGACTCTAATTTAGTTGCTCCCTTTGTATTTCCCCCCAAAAATTCAACATTGCTTTCTGTCCTGGACTTCATGTATTTATTTCCTTTCTTCACACAAAGGAGAAGTAAACTTCCCTAAACCTGTATATGGACGTTTTATTGACTCACAGAAATGGCAGGGGAACATTTCACTAGCCCCCACCTTCTCTCACTACCTGAGGGAGAGGTAGTAAGTCTGTCTGCAGATGAGGTAAGGGTGAGGGAAGAGATTTGGAAACCTGGAGCTTGGAGCTGGGGTCTGATCAGAATGATGCCACAGAGAATCCAGATGCCTAAAGCTGGCCTTGTTGACTTTAGTGTGATAGAAATGCTGTTCTTAGGAGAAAGGAAACGACTGTGGTAGTCAGTGAGAATCTACAGGAAGTTACAGAGGAAGTTCAGGAAAGGATCTAGGAAGAGGTCTGAGTTTTTTCTCCCCTTCTCAGCTGAGTGGGAAAGCTCAAGTGTAGTGTACTTTTAATACAGTATATGTATGATTTCTCACAGTATATAGTAATCTTAACAACAATAATTGTTTCCTGTTAAAAGCCATTGGATAAAGGCACCTTTTGATTTGTAAAGTCCCCTGTGGGATCACTCCCCCACATCAGGATCGAGGTGTGCAGACAGACTGCTTCATCTTGTCCTTTCCCTGCATATCCCTAGGATAGCAGGACTGGTGGGTTGGGAGATGGGTTGAGGGTGGTGATGCTGCTGTGTGCCTTCCAACACCAAGTCTAGAGAGGCAGAAGGACATACCTCATTTATGGGGGTGGTGGGAGGGGAGCAGAGAAAATTTAGAGATTTTGTGAGGAGCTCAGGGTAACTGAAGCAGTGTTTTATAAAGTGTGATCTCCACCATCAGTAGAGTGGTAATCAGTTCTAAAATAGAGTAAAAGCTTCATGGAATATACACTCACATTTCAACAGCTTAAACTCCCCAATACATCAGGTTTCTTGCCTTCAGTTAGACCTGGGAAAGAACTTACTATGTTGATTGAGTAAATTGTAAACCCCGATGTCCTCAAGGAAAGAAAAATTACTATAAAAGAGGTTGTTGCTTAAACATCAGGACCACTGCTGTGATGTTTTATTCTTTATTGTTCCTCTACTCTCCCCCTCCCCTCACCCCTCTTTGTCTCTCTGTCTCTCTCCCTAAGAGACTTTCCTTTTGTAGTTCTGGCTGGCCTGATACTTGTGTAGATCTTCCTGCTGCTGTTCCTGAGTGGTGAGATGCTAGCATTGCAGGAATACACCATCATGATCTGCCCATTTTCTTCTCCTTTTCAAAATAACTTAGAAAAGTATACCTCAGTTGGTAGACTGCTTATGTGGCATGCATAAAGCCCTGTGTTGGACACCCAGGCTTTCATTGCATAAAACCAGGTGTGGTTATTGGAGCAATGGGGAGGGAGATGAGACCAAACTCAAAATTCAAAATGCAAACAAACCACTTGAGTGTTTTAGAAAATATAGTAGAAGTATTCATGTGATGTTCTCTTCTAGCTTTGTGTGGCTCGACTCTTGGACAGTAAAAATCCATCCCTGGATACCATTAAGATGCAGGTCTACTTTGATATGAATTACACAAGTCGAGGTAACATACATACCTATTTTCATACTTTTTTTTTTCTTATAAAGGAAAACATTTATTTTGGGGCTAGTTTACAGTTCAGAGGTTTAGTTCATTATCAGAATGATGGGAAGCATGGCACCAGGCAAGTAGACTGGAGAAGGAGCAGAGACCTCTACATCTGGTTTGGCAGGCAACAAAATGAGAGACAGCAGCAGACTGAAAGAATCAGAGATGTTGGGCTTAGCTTGAGCTTCTGAAACCTTAAAGCACACCCTCAATAATGCACTTCCTCCAACAAGGCCACACCTCCTAATAGTGCCACTGCCTCTGAGCTTATGGGGGCCATTTTCACTCAAATTATCACATTCCATGTCCTGTCTCCCATAGGCTTGAAGCCATGTCATAATGCAAAATGCATGTAGTACAACTTCAAAAGTTCCAACAGCCTATAATAGTAACAGCATGGTTAAAAGTCCAAAGTTCAAAGTCTCTTCTGAGACTCATGCAATCTCTTAAATATAATCCTTTGTAAAAGTCAAAATAAAAAAAGCAGATCACATTTTAAGAGTTTTTAAAACATTGCATTTTAGATAAGAAGGGTTAATTTGGTTGACAATAGATTTAATTGTTTAAGAAATTAACTTTTATCAATCTCTTGATATTTTCCATCTTTTATCTGTTAGGTAATCTTCATTATTATTAATAAAATTCCTGAGACAATCAGTTTACACAAAGAAAAAGTTTGTTTGGACCCAGTTTTAGCAGTTTTAGTACATGCTTTTGTAAATGGAGTTCTTAATTGGTCTAAATATTAAAAGCTTGGAGTCAGATATGGAGGAAAATACTGAGAGGTCAGAGAGAAGGAGGAGCAAGGCACAGCCAACTTTTCCTCGTTAGTGTCTCAGTGGACACGAGAGTGTGTTCCTGTTTCTTCCTGCTTGCATCCTCTCTCTGCTCAGCCATCTCCTTCCTGTCTGACTGTACAGACCTCCAGCTATGGTTAGCTGGTGGCAAGCTCCATTCTCTGACCCTCAGACAGGCTTTATTTGTACAAGCAAGATATCACCACATACTATGTTGGCCCTGTTGCTTTTGGGCCATGGAGGCACATCCTGGCAGAAACAGGAGTCTGAGATAAGTCACTTACCTCATACAAAAGAGAGGATGAGACAGGGGGGTCCCCAAAGGGCAAACCTTCAGTGACCCAGACACTTCCCACTGGACTCCTTCAAGGTCCCACGGTCTCCTAATAATAAAGTAGACTGGATACCAACCCTTTAATGTATGACCTCTGAGAAATAGTTTACCATATTTAAGAATATAATAGTGTTGGAAATCCAAATGAGAAAAATGCCAGTTTCCTTTATGAATGCTAAAAGTCAGTTTAAAACTGTATGCTCATAAATTTATGTTTCCAAGTTTATCATTTTTAGCCTTTATGGCATTAATATATAACAGAAACTAAACCATTGAAGTTAAAGTTCTTAATTTTTAGATTTTCTTATTCTTGATTTATTATTTTATAATATTTAAATTATGTAACAACTCCAAAACAAAGTATATTGTGGGAAACTTAACTTCAGAACATATTTAATTATATTCACTATTCATCTTATATTTATGTTTAAGGTATATATCAAAGATATGTTGGAAATGGGGAAGGAGAGAAAGGAAAAGAAACTATTTTTATAATGCAATCATTAGCCATTTTGTGATTTTATTTTTTTCTTTCTGTGCAGTAGGCATTCAGATATGCTAATATATAAAATAATATCTCTTACATTTTTGCTTAATAACAATGGAATTTCAAAGAAAAACATAACTGAAATTAGAGAAACTTAATTCTTGTTTTTTTAAGTTTGTAAAAGTTCTCAGTTGCTTTGGTGGTGATATTGTAGAGATGAATGTTGCATTGTTGAATTGTGATTGGGAGAGCTTACTAAGTTACACGAATTGTTACAGCAGTAAACATAGCCTCCAGCCACAGCATGACACAGGTAGAAAAAGGAAAGGATAAATTCTTTATGCATTTGCTGGCAAGTTTTTTTTGTTTGTTTGTTTTTGTCAGCTTTAGCATAATCAAGGATCACTGGAGAGAGGGAGGGAACCTCAACTGAGAAAAATGCCTGCATCATGTTGACCTGTAGGCAAATCTGGGTGTTTTCTTGATTAATGATGGATGTGGGAGTGTTCAGGCTATTGTGGGTAGTACCATGCCTGGACTGAACAAGCAGGCTGAGCAAACCCCTGGGAGCAAGCCAGTAAGCAGCAATCCACTATGGCCTCTGCTTCAGCTCCTGCCTCCAGGTTCCTGCCCTGCCTTCCCTCAGTGATGGACTGTGATGTGGAAGTGTACACTGAATAAACCCTTTCCTTCCCATGCTGCTTTTGGTCATAGTATTTATAGAGAAAGAGAAACCCTAAGACAGATCCCATGTAAGGCCTCACCCTCTTTGGGGAGAAGAAAGGGGATGGGAAGGGGCTTGGGGGAGCAGGGGAGGAGAGGATGGAGAGGGAACTGGGGTTGATATGTAAGACAAGCTTGTTTCAAATTTAAATGAAAAATATTGTTATAAAAAAGAAACCCTGAAAAAAAAAACCATGAGAAAATGCAATATCGATTTATCAGTAATATTATTCCGAGGAAATTTACCTAGAACTAAAATAAGTATGATTGGAGAAGAATATATAGACTACATGTTTAATATTGTACTACCTACGTTTACATATTTATGTGTGTTTACATTGTATGTTTTGACAGAATACTCCATTGAAATTGTTGTAATAATGTTTCCTACTAGATTTCTGTATTTAGGCTTCTTGCTGGCCACTCTTTTATTTTATCATTCCACCTTAAGAAGTCAGGGTTTAGGGATTTAGCTCAGTGGGGCCCAGTTCTAGCACTGAAGGTAGGGTGGCAGCAGCTTTTGTTTTCATAAAATTGCCACACACTAACTAGCTTTCCCTAGACCTTATCTGAGAAGTCTAAGTACTAAAGATGTGAAATCCTGCTATTTGCTAATTTTAGAGGACTTTCTTGAGGAACATCATCGGGTCTTGGAGTCCAGATTAAGCAGCGTTAGCAGAGAAATTACAGACAACAGAGCATGCACTAGAGAAGAACTGGAAAGTCTCTACAGAAAGATCGTCAGTTATGTGTTACTGCGGTCTGGGCTTGGATCCCCCACGGACATCAAGATCGTCAGAGAAGCAACAGGTAACAGAGAAGTAACAGGAACGATTTCCCTTCCGTAAGTGAGCCCATATGTATTTATGTGCATCTGTGTTTGTGCCTGTGTGTGGGCAGAAGATGTGTGTGCATGTGTGCCTGTATATGTGAAAGTAGAAGGGGAACTGTAAGGAGAGAAGAAAGAATCAGAGGGGAGAAAAGGGAAAGCAACAGGAGGACAAAATATTTCATGTTTTCTCTCTTATTTGGAATCTATGTATGACACGAATTCAGAAAGGAAAGTGTCTGAGGGGAGCAGGAGGAGTGGAGAGGAGGGGCATGGGGATATAAATATGACCAAAGTACCACCATGCAACCTGAAAATGTCAGAGTGAAACCCATTATTTTCTGTGCTAACAAAAACAAAAAAAAAAAATAGTAATTTAAAAAAGCAACTTAGGCTGGGCAGTTTTGCTGCATGCCTTTAATCCGAGCACATGGGAGGCAGAGGCAGGTGGATCTCTGTGAGTTCAAGACCAGCCTGGTCTACAGAGTGAGTTCCAGGACAGCTAGGGCTACACAGAGAAACCCTGTCTTGAAAAACAAAAAACAACAACAAAAGCAACTTAGAAAAACAACAACAACCTTATAGACTGGAGAGATGATTCAGTGTTTAAGAATGTTTGCTGATCTTCCAGAGGACCTGAGTTCAATTCCCAGCATCCATGTCAGGCAGCTCACAGATGCAACACTCTTTTCTAGCCAGTGAAATAGTATTCTTTTTCATTTTTCTAGAGATGGTGCAAACCCAGTGACCTATTCCACCAACTAGTGGAACATTAGTAGCATTGTTAAGGGCACTGGGCTCATGGGGTGATTGAGAGCTGGAGGAGAATGGACCATATGGGAGGAAGGCATGGAGTCTGTCATCTAATTAGGATCTTGAAAGGGGAAACCTTGTATTCTCAGGAAATGCTCATCTAGTTTATACTTTATAATGATGATGGAGCTAGGGCTAGTGAGTGTCTATAATCCCCAACACCTGAGAGGTGGGACACAGGAGAATCAGGAGTTCAAAGCCTGCCGGATACATGGGGCTCCCTCCCTCCACAAAAACAAAAACAAGATATAATGCAGGACTAGGTAAGCTATCCAACCTTCCCATTACATTTTTCCATTATTAGATTTTTCTACTCAGAGCGTTTTAATTAGAAAGATCCCCCCCTCCAGTTGATTAGTTAATGAGGACAGAGACATGAGGCAATAACATTGTTTTCAGTTGCCTGGCCCTGGTATTTGGTAACTTGCTATGTATTCCTTAACAGGTGTCATAAACTGTATAGGTAACACTAGAAGGGCACATCCCTTTACATCTAAGTTCTGACACCATTGACCCACTCTCCTGTTTTTCTCTGGATCTATTGCAGCTGCTCTGCAGAGTGTTTTTCCTCAGGCGGAGCTGGGAACGTTTCTGACTCTTAGTAAAAAGGACAAAGAACGCCAGCTCAAGGAGCTCACCATGATTGTTACTGGAATTCGGTTATTTAACAGAGACTGTGGGAAAGGAGGAGAAGGCATTGACGATTGTAAGTCATTTAGGCTAGTCCTGAAGGTTCTGTGTGTTTAAGGCACATCTGCTCCTCACAGTGGAGCAGATGACACACATCACACCACTGATAACTCAGGAGGCAGAGGCAGGCAGACCTTTGTGAGTTCAAGGCCAGCCTGTTCTGTTACACAGCAACTTTGTCCCAAAAAAACCACAAACAACAACGACAAAAATGCAGTTCTGTTCATTAGAAACAACCTCTCTTCATACTAGCTAGTAGTTCTTAACCTTGCAGAGGCAAAGCCTTGTTTTCTGTACCATGAAGCTAGTGTATGAAATTGAGTCAGTGACTGGAATGAGGGAGTAGCCCAGATGCCACCCTCTTAACTCAGTGGAGTGTGATGTTACTTTATGCCAGCCAGAGGGAGGTTAAAATTACCTAGGAAAGAAAACTGTGCTGGTGTAATTAATGGGATGAAAAGACCAAAGAGGAGTTATTTGAAGATCTGCAAATGCAGAAACAACTTCTATGGAGTTATATATGTAATGCTTTATTTTTATTTTTTTTTTTTTTAGGCAGGGTCTCACTGTATAGCCTTGAATAGCCTGCTATGTAGACCAGGCTTGCCTCTGGTTCAGAGAAATCACCTGCCTCAGCCTCCCAAGAGCTGGGACGAAAGATTTGCACTACCACACCCAGCCCCATAGTGCATCCTTTGTTTGTAAGTTCGAGAATGCTTAGAAAATATCTAATATAGGTCCTGATGGTAGAAGTAATTTCATGTGAATTTTAGACTTCTGCATGCCCATTGATAAGGCATTACTGTCTTTTACATAATCACTGATCACTCCTCTAACTAGCAACAGCCAGCCGCTCTGCCTGTCTTCCTACATTTAAAGGGCTGGAAACCACTGAGTTACACCCCAACCCAATGAGGGTTTTGTTGTTTATTTTTTAAGAGTTGTTATGAAAAGTCAAATTTCAGGGTTGGAGAGCTGGTTTAATGATTGCTGCTCTTAGAGAGGACCAGGGTTTGGTTCCCAGCACCCATATGGTGGCTCACAATCATCCCCTTGAACTAGACCTGTAACTCCATTCCCATGGAATCTGGCACCCTGGCCTCTATGGGTACTGCACACACATGCTGCACAGATACTTGTAGACAAAATGCTCCTACACATTAAATAAGCATAAAATTACAAATATCAATTTCCCACCAGAGAGTGCCTTTCATTGCTAGGCTGCTTTGCTTATTTTCAGAGTCCAGATGGGGTTCATACCTACATTTTAAATTTGATTTTTCTGAAGGAGCATGGTTAATATAGCACATAACATCACAATCTATCTACATTTTCTATATTTCAGTGAGAAAAGTGGATCTGATTGTACTTTTTCTTGCTATTCTGACACTGGTTTTGTTTTGACAGTTTCTTTTCTGTATTCGGTAGGACCATGGAAAATAGGCCTTATTATTATTATTAATCTGATAAGGAAAATCTGCCTCAATTTAATGTTTAAAATACAATTACTTTCTGCTCTCATTTCCCTTGATCCTCTTTCTGCCTCTTCATGCCTGTACACAAACAGTGCCAGCCATTCTCCATGAAGCAATCCCAGCCACCACACAGCACATTGACGCCCAGCTCCAGATTGCCCAAGACCAGGCATTTCGATACACAGCCATCCTTGAGAAAGTGACAAAGAACCCACTCATGACCAAGGAGCTTGAGCCATATATGTTAAAGGAAGCATTGTATAATGTTCGGCAGTATGAGATCTTCCTCCAGACTGTTTTGGTGAGCTAATGCCACAAGTTCTGGCATTTTCTGAATAATGCAGCCTCTTGATAACCGGGTGACTCATGAAGGCGGTATCCTTAGGAAGTGACATTGCCGTGGTATGATCGGCGATTAAAACAGAAGCAGTAAAGCTAGGTTTGACCTTAGTGGAACTGTATCACAGAAGTTAGTTTGTAGTCGTTGACTTTCTTTAGTACTTGGTAGTGTGATTAGTAACATGCTATAATTAAAAGTGGTGTGGGCATTTGCAACACTTAATTCGGAGCGTCTGTTTTATACATTGTTTGGCAGGGAGTGGCACTCACAATGTCATTTTCACTTGGTTGGGAGCAGGTAGGGCTCAACACGTGGTCTGTATAGAAAAAGTATAAAATATTAATACAGATCATGTTGTCCTCACAGTCAGATATAATCACTTGCGCTCAAGAAGTGGAAATGATGATAAAACAATTAGCAGCTCAGCTGGAACAATTGAAAATGACAGTGAAATCCAAGACAGCTGTCCCCACATCACAAGTCTTCGTAAGTATCCATCACCCTCCTGGGCCTTGTGTGTGTGAGTGAGAGAGAGGTGGGGGGCTCTCAGTATGTAGCCCTAACTGACTTGGAACTTGCTATGTAGACCAGGTTGGCCCCAAATTCATAGATATCCCCCTAATGTCCCGCTACCTCTGTCCCTGGCTGCTGGGATTACAGGCATGCTCCACCACACTCAGGGACTTTGACTATTTGACATGTATTTTGTCTTATTTATTATTATGGCAAAGGGGCATGCTGCACTGCACATGTGGAGGTCAGAGAACACATCAAGATTTGTTCTCTTCTTTCTTAGTGGGATCCTGGGACCGAACTTGGGTTGTCAGGCTTGTGAGGGCTTTTTACCCATGGCGCCATCTCGCTAGTCCACTTTTCTCCCCTGTGATTAAACCCAGTGGTGTACAAACTAGGCAAGTACTCTACTGCTGAGCTAACTCCCTAGGCTATAGGGTTTGTGTGCTTGTTTGTTTGTTTGTTTTGGTGTTCTGTGTCAGTACTTCACTATTTGGCTCAGTGGACACCCTAAGTTGTTACTGTGCATCCCTTGTGCCCACACCTTGTACGCTGGGATGCAGGCATGTGGCCCCCATGGCAATGTCATTTCTTCATGCTGAACATCCTTTTGAGTCCTATAAATCAGTTCAGAATCCCTTCTACTTGTATTCCATTAGAATAATATCATATACTGTGTAACAGTTTTATACAAGTTGGTCCTGTTCTTCACGATTATGTCTTAGTAATAGCCTGCTTCTTGCTTGATGAGGGCAGTTGCTACTGAAGGAAGTGATAATCTCTAGTAGTGATGACCATAGCATCTATGGCAACAGACGCATCCCACTACAATGTTGAAAATGTGTTTATAGAGCTGAGAAGGTAGCTCAGTTGGTAAAAGGCTTTCCCCACAACCACACAACCACACAAGCACCTGAGTTCAGATCCCCAGCACCTAAGGAAAAAAACAGGTGTGGCGCTGGGTAGACAGAGCCAGGAGGATTTCTGGCCAATCAGTGAGAGATGCTAACTTAAGAAATAGGGCAAAGAGAGACTGAAGAAGATACCCAACACCAACCTCTGGCCTCTACATACTCCCACTCCCACACATGGACAGGGGCAGGGGGTGGAGAAGGTGGAGGGAAGAAGGGAGGGAGGGAACAAGGGAGAGAGGGAAGGAACATGTTCAAAGAAGTCTGTCAGAAATTGCACCAGGCACAGAGGTGGATAGCTGAAGTCTTAGCTGAAAGGAAGGTAACCTCTTCATTTGTCAGGCATTGGCTTTCTGAACAATACCACTTTATAGAAAAACATTGCAGCCTGATCTGAATGAGGAAACTGTAACATGTACATGCATTTCACATGGCTTTAGACGTTTGGAACTGGTAACTTACTGCAGTCATTCTCAACATCAGTTTTAAAAAACAAACTTATGTGAGGCCTGGTTGATTTTGTTTGTTCTGTAAGTCATTAATCTCTATTGTGAGTAAATACTGTATTTTGATGATCTAAAGCTTTAGCTTGCAGCTGTCTCAGTGTGACTAAGATACACATATGTGCGTTCCTGTATCTTCTGATTCATGACTGGGCCAGAGAAATCAGCTAAAATTTAGTTTGTAAACCAAAATTTTCAAGTATATTCTCATCCTTAGCCTTTCAAGGTTAAGTGTTACTATTCCTTAGGAGAGCAAATACATTAGGCTACTTTCTGAGTAAGTAACTTTTTAACATCTATGCCAAATGAAAACCTTTGAAAGAAAACCTAGGTTTCCCTCTGCCTGACTCAGGAGTCTACTCTAGTTTATAAAGACTTTGGCTATAACAGAATGGGTTTCTTTACCACTCATATTTATTTTTAAGAATACAAGGATGACTGTCACTCAGTTCTGTTTTTGGTGTTTCTTTCTCTCTTTAGCCTATATTCATTGCACTGGCAAGTCTGTGGATGAGCTTTCAGGATGAGACGGTGCTGATTAGTGTCCTCAGTAATTTGACCACTAACCTGGAGCTCTTCCTGGGCACTCATGAGCTTCTCTTTCCTGAGAAAGTGATCCAAGGTCTTCTTGATGGTGTCATTGTGAAAACTGACATGTCTAGAATCAAGGAGCATATGGGTAATGCACACTAACCATTGTTTCCTTCTCCTTAAAGTTACCTTTAGCTTAAAGTCATTGTTTTTGTCTTAAAATCTTTATTCTATAGATTTCTGATAAACACTAAACATCTTAATTATGAAGGACTGGTATTCATTATAGAAAATACAGAAAAAGAACAGACATGGTGACACACACATTTAGGTTTTAGCATGTAGGTGGTAGAGACAGGAGGGTCAGGAGTTCAAGACCAGCCTAAGCTACACGATAAATTCAAGGCCACCCTGGGCTACAGGAGACCCTGTCTCAAAAGATGTGAAAAAATAAATCTAGAAACTGAATATTTTACTGTCCAGAAATTAATTCTTATTGTAGTTCTTCATGTCTTGGCTTTGTGTGTTTGTGCATTTATATTTCAGTAGTACTGGTTTTGTAATTGATGTACTGAGAAAAATTCTTGTTATATTTGTTGCAGATAAAGCTCCATTTTAGACAATGGTATTTGCTACATATCTTCTTAGTATCAAGTTGAGATTTATGAACCAATTACTTTTATCCTTATAAAATTAATTGAGCTAACTTTAGGGGCTGGAGAGATGGCTCAGTGGTTAAGAGCACTGGCTGCTCTTCCAGAGGTCCTGAGTTCAATTCCCAGCAACCACATGGTGGCTCACAACCATCTATAGTGGGATCTGATGCCCTCTTCTGGCATAAAGATGTACATGCAGACAGAGCACTCATGTAAAATAAATAAATCTTTTTTTTTTTAAAAAGATGTATTTATTCTTATAGAAAGGTTGACATTATTAGTGAACTTTGTATCATTTCATAAACTTTTTGCCTTTTCTGTCTCAGTTAAAAAAAAAATCTAAAGTTTACGAGAAATATCAGAGTTTAGAAGTTAAAACTCAACCTTTTTTTTTTTTTTTTACAGAAAAATGAAATTAGATGATTCACTGATTTCTTTTTAAAATTCTATTTTGGTAAAAACAGAAAATAAGAATATAGCAGTGACTCCATTTCTTGAATTATTTGAGTATATAAGAACTGAAAACTGAATAGATACACCAAAATCCTCTCAGTATAAGTTTTTATTACTTATGTGACTTCATTACAACAGCATGTCTAAGCAGATATGAAATGAAATTGAAAAGTTGAAGTAAGTTCAATTGTGGGTGTTCAGTTAAGCTGCAACTTCTCAGATTTAGAGATGTCATTTCCTACCAGAGTCAGAACTTTTTTATCATTAGAGTATTTGATCAGGTTACTCCTCAGTGAACTGAAAGAGCTAATATTCTGAAAGAATTTAATTTATGCCTGCTTATCATTCCTAGATATAAACCATTTATTTTCACCAAGTTAGGCTTTACCTTTAGTTGTAGATATAAGGTCAAGCAAATAGGATGTTGGCTCTTTGGGTCTAGAATCAGACATATTAGAAATATGGAAATAGTTTTTCATGAATATATCACTTGTATCTATTTATTCATGTTAGTGATCAATGTTTGCAAAGCAACTGGTATGAGGAACTATCTTTAAAGGTCAAAAGAACAGGAAAGAGAGACGTTCAGAGAGTAAGAGCACTAGCTGCTCTTGTAGAGGACCCACGTAATGGCCTGCATCATTTTACAAGGGGACTTCAGCACCTTCTTCTGGCTCTGGAGCACCAGGCATGCATGTGGTGCACATGCATACATATGTAGGCACTCATATATGAATGTAACATAAAAATAACTAAGAAAAAAGTCTAAGGAACAAAAATTATATACCCTTTAATCAAAGTCAAACCAGTAAAAGATGTCTTCTACAGTTTTGGAATACAGTCTAGTTATATAAACACTGTATTTAAAGTGTTGTCCATCTAGTGTTGTACCAAGACATGTGACATCTTGAATGAAGATGATCCTCTAGGTCACTTAACTCTTTCTGCTCATCTCCTTGGGTGATGTAATGTGTGGCAACGGGAAACATTGCATACCATGACAGAAGAGCTTTGGTTTGCTTTCCTGCAGCTGCAAAGCAGGTTTTTTGAAAGGTTTCTTGGTATTGCTCATTCTGGGACAGAGCTCTATTCCACATTTGCTCTAGCAAGTTACTGACTTGGACTTGGACAGTCACTGAGACATTCACACTTCTTTACATGAATACTACCCCAACAAGTCTGATCACAGGGAATTTTGTCAGTCAGAAAAAGTACAGATGATAAAAAGTTAATGTTTAGAATGACTCCTGCTGATTTATTTAGGAAATTGCATCTTCTCAAGGGTTGAAAACTGTTTCCTGTTCTCTTCCATTTTAGAAGAAAGAGTACATTTGCCAGATTTCAGAAAACTAGAATGGCTTTTTCCGGAAACAACAGCAAATTTTGATAAGCTGTTAATTCAGTACCGTGGGTTTTGTGGCTACACGTTTGCTGCGACAGATGGTCTTCTTCTCCCAGGTATGTTATTGGAGATAACAATCTGCCTTCATGATGCCTGTTCCATACTGACTGCTTATTGTACCCACTTTGTTGTCCTATAAAACTCGATGGGTTCGGATGGTGAACCAGGCAGGGGATGCAGAGATGGCCCAGACATGGTCCTCACCTATGGTGCTTACAATATAACCTGGTAGGTTCAACAAGAGTTTGTGAGGAGTAAGTGATGGGAGGTGACAGTTTGACTGTCTCTAATCTAAAATGCGTCAGGCCAAAGGGATTTCTAAGTATAGACATGGGAGAATGAGATGTATTAAGAGATGGGTTTAAACACAGACCCAGTCATGTCTCATAGACATTTTATGCAAAAAGCTCTAAAATAGTACACTACTTTTAGTGCACCTGTATTTTTACTGTGACTTATCACAGGAATTTCCTTTATGAAGGAATTCAAGTTGTTTCTGATTTTGGAGCATTTCATATCTCATAGTAAGGAAATTCAGTCAGTATTATGTAATATGGACTCTGTAGTGCCCTAAAAAGGAGATGATTCAGTCCAGAAACATGGTTTAATAGTGCTAAAAATAGTGTCTTTAAAAAAGTTAACTGAAGCTGGGCAGTGGTGGCACATGCCTTTAATTCCAGCACTTGGGAGGCAGAGGCAGGAGGATACCTATGAGTTGAGACCAGCCTAGTCTACAGGAGCTAGTTCCAGGACAGGTTCCAAAGCTACACAGAGAAACCCTGTCTTGAAAATCCCCCAAAAATTGTTTTTAAAATTAACTGAAAAAGACACACTTGTTTAACTAGTGTGTCCACTTAAAATACTCTTGGTCACTTTGCAGCCACACTTCATTACCATAGGTTAGGATTTCTCTGTTAGAGTCTTCTCTCTGTGTTAGCTTTCTATGTTTTACAGTTGGGTATTGTTTGCTGACAGAATTGCTGGAATTCTGGGCTTGCCTGGTAGAGAGAACAAAGTATCGTATTCTTTGTTGTTATGAGGAACAAACACACTAGAAACATGGCAGTGAGGGAGTGACAGGCAGAGTCTACCTGATGTGCTAGTAATAAAGAGACAAGGGAATGTAGAGGACGGCCAGGCCATTTCTGAGTTCTCCCTGAATGAATTAGTGCTGGTCCTTTTGCCTCTGTCCACTGTGTTGTTTCTACTTATTGCATCTTTGCCTAGATATCAGAAGCTATTCACTCAGAGGGACTTTGTAGAATGTCTTCAACTGTTGCGAATTTAGACTACATGGCTTACACCTGAAGTGACACTGGCTTACCATACTGTCACATTTGTCCTTTCCAGATGACTTCATGTCTATCAGAAGTGTTTTTCTGGATCACTCTACCCCAACTCATGCTCTATTCTTTCATTTTACTAAGCTTTCCCTAATCACCAATTTTTATTAAAATACCATTCTCATACCTCTTTGTTTTATTAAGCATTTAATTTGCTTGCTTTCCTTATTTTTCAGTTAGTTATTTGCATAACATTGGACACTTTGACATTTGATATATTTGTGATCTGTTCAGACTAGGTATTTGTTTTTCTACTCTATCCCTCTATACCAAGAAAATAGGGTCAACAACTATTTATTGGAAAAATAAATAAGACAGTATTGCCATTTCCTATATAATTTCCACAAGACATTTGGGAATTTAATAACCCATAGTCTTTTTATAGTTGAAAATATCCAAATCTGCAATGAGGAAAAGATGCCATACTTTTGCAATTCTTACAGTTATTTTGAAAACAGTACATTAGGGGCTGTGGACATGGCTCAGTGGGTGAGAAGCACTGGGGGCTGTGGATGTGGCTAGTATGTAAGCTGGGCAACTATGAAGGACCTATTCAAATCCCTAACCCACATTAAAAAGATACGTTTGACTGTGCACAGTCCTATAACCTCAGCACAGGGCCAACCAGGGCATAGAAACAGGAGGGCAGCTGGGGCTTGTAGGCTGCCAGCCTAACTCCAGATTTAGTGAGAGAACTTGCCTCAAAGGAATAAGGTGGAGAATGATAGACAAGAGAACCAGATGTTCACCTCTACCTCTTCCTCCTCATCTTCTTTGGAGACAGGGTCTCTATTCAGTTCTGGCTGGCCTGGAACTCACTTTGTAGACCAGGGTAGCCTCAAACTCACAGAGATCTCCCTGGCTTGCCTCCTAAGTGCTAGCCCTGTGCACATCTCCACATACATATGCACACATATCACACACACTCTCATGTATATACACACACCACCCCTTTTGTGTGGAGGTCTGGGCAAACACCAGGGCCAACAAAGTAACAATCCATTTGAGGCAAGGAGGAAATCCAGTTCATCACTACTCAATGGCCAGTTTTGGTTCAAACTTTTAGTTTATTTAAGACATACTTAAGTAAAGTACATTTTGGAAAAATGTTTTCTGATGACAGTTAGTACCAGGAAATTATCACCAGTAAAGCTTAAGCTGTCACTGCATCAAAACTCGTTTGTAGCCGAGCGTTGGTGGAGCACGCCTTTAGACCCAGCACTTGGGAGGCAGAGGCAGGCAGATCTCTGTGAGTTTGAGGCAAGCCTGGTCTACAGAGTGAGTTCCAGGACAGGCTCCAAAGCAATACACAGAAACTCTGTCTCAAAAAACAAACAAGCAAGCAAAACTTGTTTGCAAAGTACTTGTGACCTGTTTTTTTCCATAAAGATAGGTTCTATTGACTGAGGAACAATGCTGGGGATAAGGGTCTAGAGAGGAAGAGTTTGAGATAAACATACCAGTGTGGGGATTCTCATGTGGCTAGGCCCTACAGACAGCACAGATCACCAGGCTATTAACTATATCCACTCCCAGGCTTCTGGGAGGAAACAGGTATACATGTCCTCCGTTGAAGAGACAGCCTTTCTGTTTGACATTCCTGGTTTCCTTAATGTGTGTCTTCTACACTTTAGTAAATATATTAATTTAAGTAGGTTTGTAAATTTTGCCAAATAGACTAAATGGTTTTCATAAGATGTTTTTACACATGTTTTGTCTGTATAGGAGGATTTTTACATAAAACTCAGTTTTTAAAGATTTGTATGTATGTATGTATGTATGTATGTATGTATGTATGTATGATTGTAGTGAGATAGTTCTGTGGCACTGACCACGCCCATTGGGGGGTGGAGCCATGGGCAGAGTGACCTGTGGAAGGAGGTCGGAGGGGGCCAGGAAAGGCGCTCTCTTTCTGGCATGACTCGGACAGGAGAGGATCGGGTTGAATTTCCTGGTGTTCATCTGTCTAGGTTGTAAGTTATTTCTCCCTGAATAAACATCTATTCGGCCTATTTGTTTATCCTGCTCCTTATTTTACAGCGATATATGTGTGTGTGTATTTTGCCATGTGTGAATGCAGACTGTGTGCGGGTACCCTTGGAGGTCAAAAGAGGATTTTGAGTTACAGGTTTTATGAGTTATCTGACAGGATGTTGAGAATCAAATTCAGGTCATTTGGAAAAGAAATACATACTTTTAACTACTAAGCCATCCCTCCAGCCCCAATTTGTTTTATTTTTTTAAATTATGTGTGTATGTGTATGTCAGGGTAGGGGTATACACGTGTGAGTGCAGGAGCTTGTGGAGGCCATAAAAAAGCATGGAATCCTTGAAAACTGGAGTTACAGGCAGTTATGAGACACTGGATGAAGGTGCTGGGAACTGAGTTTGGATTCTATGCAAGACCTCTATTTAATTTTTACTGTTATGCCATTTCTTCAGCCCTATAAAATATATTTTAAACTCAAAAATATATAATTTAGTATGAATTTCACATGTTTATCATCTAATAACATTTTAGCAAAACAAAAATAGAAGTGATATATCAAAATGGAGTGTGTGGGATGGATGTGTAGCTCAGTGGTAGAATCATGGTTAGCATGTGAAAGGCTCTGGGTGGATTGCCCACACCACCAACAAAACAAAAACTAAACCACAGCAATGTTGGTCCTATGGCTTATCAAAAAACAAAGTCTCTTGTTTTATGCCTGCTTAAATTATTGTTCTTAATTTTCACAGGAAATCCAACCATCGGAATTTTGAAATATAAAGAAAAATATTACACTTTCAATACCAGAGATGCTGCATATTCATTTGCAGAAAATCCTGAACATTACATTAACTTGATTAAAGAAAAAGCCAAAAAGAATGCAGAACTAATTCAGCTACTAGAACTTCATCAACAATTTGAAACTCTCATACCATATTCTCAGGTAAACATGGTGAACAGTTGCAGTTACCTGGGTTTGTAATTTCTGACCCAATTAAAGTGGTGTCTCGGTATTGGTTATTATGTATTTCTTCTGCAGGGAAGTTCAGCATCCTTTGGCTTGTTTTGTGGATCTTTTGGGAGGTGGGGATCCACACGTGTGTGTAGCATCTTTCTGTTTGTTTTGAGGATCTTTGGAGAGTACACATACATGTGTGCTGTGTGTACATGTATGCAGAAGGATAACAGGTTTTCCTCTCTCACTCTTGACCTTGCTTTTGAGACAGTAGCTCTTTGAATCATTTACTAGTCTGTGCTTCTAACACCATGTAGGGTTGTGGCATGTATGGACATGCCTAGCTTTTAGGTAGGTTCTGGGAATTTGAATGCTGGTCTTCTCATTGTCCCCATTGATATCACCTAAGGGTGTAAGAGTGAGATCATTCTCTGCCAATTGAAAAATTAAAAGGTAGGAAAAAGCGTTACCAGCAGAGCCATCATGTGATGCCCAAGAAATCAAAGTCCCCTTGTAGGGATTTTGATCTCTTCAGTAAAAGAATTAAAGCTGTTTGTGGTGGCACACATCTTTAATCTTGGCACTCAGGCAGATCTCCATGAGTTTGAAATCAGCTTGATCTGTGTTACTACGATCAGGTTTTCCAGATAGCCTGGTCCTATAGCTGTGCCAGCCCCAAATAACACACAGAGACACTGTATTAGATATAAAGCTGTTGGCCTGTTGCTAGCATTATTTATTGACTAGCTCTGTCTTTTATTAACCCATTTCTATCAATCTAAGTATTTCCATGTGGTTTTATCTTACCAGAGAGAGGATTGGGATCTCCGTTTTCTTGGTCCTACATGTTGAATCTCCCTCCTACCTCTCCCTGAAACAACCTTGTCTCCTAGTCCCGCCTATCTTACTTTCCTATTGGCCAACAGTGCTTCTTTATTCATTAACCAATAAGAGAAACATATTTACAGAATGACATCTCCTATCATCTCTTTTCTGTCTAAAGTAAAAAGAAGGGTTTTAACTTTAAAATAGTAAAATACATGACAAAACAGTTATTAAATAAGAGCCACAGTTAACAATATTTAATCCATTAACATTTAGCAAGATTTAAAGAAAATGTATCCTATCTTTGTGAGTCTAAAGTCCACTATGTAACTTATCTTTAATTCTAACTCAGGAAAACTATAACCATAACTCTGTCTTCAACTCCTTGAAAGACCACAGAAGGACAATATATAAACTCTAGAAATGACAGAGACAACTCACTGCCTGGTCAGTCACCCAAAGTTCTTCTGTAATGTCCCATCTTCAGCTTATAGGCCATAGTGTGTCTGGCAGACTCCAGCAAAGCAGGAAACATTAAATTGTCCATCTGTATTGGCAGTTTGTCAGTCACTTTTCTCTGTGTCCTGTAGGCTGTCTGGTAGATTCTTCCATGAAGCAGGAACCCTGTAGCAATGTCCATCTTGTATCAGTGGTCACTTTCCTGTGGGTCCTGAATGTCCAGTTTATATAGCATAAAGTCAAACAGTCCAGACAAGAGCAGTTCTTGCCCAAATGGCTAGTCTTGACATATTTGGAGTAAACGCCATAACGAGTTCTTCGATGTCCATCTTCCTTTCTGATGCAGGTGGTATTGCCAGGAGCAGTTATGTCTCAGTGTCAAGAAAAACCCTAAACCATTTTAAATACCATATTCTGTAGGTCTTTGAAGGTTTGAAGAATGCCTATTCATCTCAAATACATCTCTGTATATCTAGAAATCCTAACTCAATTAACTATAAGTTTTGACTATTATAGGTAAAACCTAACTAAGGTTTTGACTATTATAGGTAACTATCTGAAATCTGTACTACATTATACATTTTTAAATGAGCTATATAAACACAATACCTAAACAAGAGGAGAAATATACATATCACAAATTGCCCTTAAATTTGTATCAACAAATGAAAATCCATTCCAAAACAAAGTATACATTTCTATACCATAATCCCCTTTTTACCTTTAAAAATATAAGCTGTGATCATTAACTATTTATAACCAACGCCGTATAAATGAAAACAAACATTTATAGACAATATTTGGGAATTTGGTCATCATTCTTTCCAAACTGCTTCCTGATGGTAGGGGGTGCTGTCTTGGGGATCCTAAGAAGATGCAGAAATCCTGGCTGTAGTGGTCTGCAAGGCTGCCTTGTCCTAGCTGTTTTGAATATTGGATCATCTGGGACACTGCTTCAGGGGGTCTTGCTTGATCAAACCATGTTAGTCTGGAAGAAAATAGAGATTCATTTTCCCAGTAACCTGTCCTTGAACTTAAATTTTGAAGTCAAAGCATTTTTAAAATATATAAATTGGAATAATCTACCAGCATTTCTTTTAACAGTTATTGCTATTTATTTATCAGTCAAACTATACAAAGACAACACAATACTATATAGTATCCAGACTCTTTTTGTGCTTTCCATCTTTACGTGGCTTTTTTATTACTCTATTTCTTTTATTTCTATTTTTTATTTGTTGAGACGGTTTTTCTGTGTAACTTTTGTTTGTCCTGGAATTAACTCTGTATACCAGGTTTGCTTTGAAATCACAGAGATCTGTTTGCCTCTGCCTCCCGAGTGCTGGAATTAAAGGTGTGTGCCATCACATCCAGCTACTCTATTCAGCTACTCATACACATCATTGAATTGTTAGCTGCACTTCTGAAAAGCCATGTGGTTTTTTGCTGCTTATGATGAGACAGGAAACCTCCCTTAAAGGAGCCGCACAAGTCTCTGTTTGTCTCTAGCAAAATAGAGTAAAACTGAGAAAAATGATGTTACTAAGAAGCCTATTGCGTTCCAAGTTAGTCAGTCTATGCACTGTGACCCAACCTTAAACAAACAATGTATGTATGTATGTATGTATGTATGTACACACACACACACACACGTTAAGCGCCACTGGCTGCTCTTTCAGAGAACTTGGATTTGGTTCCCAGAACCCATATGGTAGTTCAAAACCATCCAGAACTTTAGTTCCAGGGGATCCAAAACTTTTCTGGCTTCTGCAGCACCAGGTATACATGCATACATACATACATGTAGGTGAAACAAATAAAAATCTTTGGACTGTTGAGATGGCTTCCTAGGTAATGATGTCTGCCATCAAGTGTGACAACCTGAGTTCAATCCTTGGGACCCACATACAGGAAGAAGAGAACTGACTCCTGCAAGTTGTCGTCAGACCTAACATGTGCACCATGGAATTCACATATGTGTGCACACACACAATACAGAATCGTATACATTTTAAAAGGAAAAGTCAAATGGAAACTGAAGGGCAACTTCAGCTTGAGCTTAAAAGGAAAAATAAATCAGGGCTGGCAAGCCGTAAACCTCACAGTTGCCTAATGTAATAGAGAAGATAGGTGTGGAAGTCATCCTTGTATCCCATACCCCTATACTGTATCCCATATTGCTACACTAAATCCCATACCCCTACAAGACTGTTTGCCTCTCTTGCTTAAGTCTTCAACTCAGGCCATTCAGATGCAAAGTGGTCTTTGATTATTGCATAGGGACATGTAAGACCCCTTCTGCATCCTGAGTCATGGATATTTTCCCCTCTTTTGTATTAAATGTCAGGTATCTTCTATCGCCTGTAGCGCCCCTCATACATTCTGTTCATTTCTTCCCATGAGTTCTTAGCATTTTGAGCCCAGGATGGTCATCTTAGCACATATGTAACTGAGCCAGCAGCCCATCTTATCCTTCTTTTACTCACTTAACCTATCAAGAGGCTAACGTGGAGGATAGCATCCACATGTCACTGTCCCACTGTAAATCCTCCCTTACATTGGCACATTCTTTCCAACTAAACAGCTCAGTTTTGATTGCATATCTTAATCCACACATAAAAAGGCCATGTAATACCTGCCACGGGCTGTTTATGATCCCATCCCATACACAGTACTTTTGGTGATTGCAACATATTAGTTTTCTAGTCCTCCAGCTATTTTGGGTGTTTCTTCATACTGGCATCAAGGAAGCAGGCTGATCCATACCATGCAGAGAAAGATGGCTACCTCAGAATCCTCCCTGAGGATACTCTACTCTGAGATAGCTCAGCTTTGGTTGCAGACTATTATCTGTTGGAGAGAGCATGCAATTGCCACTCCAGCAAGGACACACCCTATTTCATAGCATTTAGGGGAAACTGTAGTCATATTAGGATTGTCTCTGGATTTCCTCCCTCAAAAGGATTGGCCTTAATTGCATATTTCATCACCTGTCACAAGGACCATGCTACAACCCCTTCCCAACTCCTTTTCACTTGAGTCAGTCTGTATTCAGGCATTGATTGTGTTGTGTGACTTTTCTTGGGAAGATGCGAACAAATGTCTGTTAGGATAAAGAACAGATTAAATAAATTATTCCATCCATGTCTATCTCATTGAACTAGTGCATTTGTTGGGGTTACCTACAGGAGCATGAGTGACTGAAAAAGCAGTTGCATTGCTGAAAATGGATGATGACTGAGGAAAGCTGTGTGCTTGGAACTTAGGTTCACCGGATAGTCCCCTTCCTGCCAGCCAAAACAACAACAATAACAACAAAACATTTGTGCATGAGTGATGATCCAGGACAATTTCATACCTAGAACTTAGCCACTTGACAGTCTCTTCTCCCTAGCAATTATTTACTGCTTTTTTATCATATCTAGGGGGTAGTTCTGTAAATCTTCTAACTTTATGGGCTTCCCAAGCTGTGATGGCTGTTCTTGATTGTCAACTTGACTATATCTGGAATGAATTACAATCAAGAAATGGAGGGCACACTTGTGATCTGGATCTTGAGGCAGGAAGACAACATACTTTCCACCCAGATCTTGAGGCTGGAAGGCACACCTTTAATCTGGACTGCATCTGACTGAAGCCTATATAAGGACAATGGAAGAAGGAAGGATATGTTTTTTCTTTGCCTGCTGGCCCTTGCCTTGTCA